TTTTTCAGTCTATAGGCGCATTCGCAAAAACACTTGAAGTCCAGAAAACATGATTTTATCCAATGATTTCTTTCGCAGTCCAACCGCTCATGTGGTGTTTGTCTCCGTCCAGCTCATAGGTTTTGAATGGAATCAGGTAATACGCTTCGCCCCAAGTTAAAGAAATGAAAACTTACCGATGTGTTGCGGTGACCGGCAGGGAAATCATGTCCGGACCACCACTATCGATCGGCTTTCTCAGATATACGGTACCATCCGGAAACACATCCACATGTGTTTTCAGAGAACTTCTGAACACATAAGCGGAATCGGTGCCAAGTCCGATGAGCATCGTACCCGTTCGAGCGTCTTCCTTCATGTGCACGTTGTAGGTAGCATTCAGATGAAATGGCTGAAATTTGATGTCCTGAATTTAACGGCACCATGTTAATGCATGGCAGTCTACAACAATCATGTGGGCGGAGACAGTCAACCTTTGTGCTTTACTCATTAACACTGCCTTCTTTCTGCCATTCTCAATAGATTGGGCCAGTTAGGTCAGTATTAGACTTCACTCGCTCCGCCCAAGCTACTAACGTGGACTGTATCTTTAGGTAGAACAAACCTTTTCATCACTTTCCATTGCGATTTCTATTTTCATTCGGTCACTTCTACCTTTCGCGTCTTTCGCCTCGATTTCACACTGCACACTATTGATCGATTTATCGATTAACTCCCTCACAGAGACGATGCCATCGTTGTCAATGCGTAGCCATTGACAATTTGTCGAGAAGTTAAAAAGCCCTCCGGCATCAACCTGAGCGTGAGAAACACCATTTTAGAATAAGTAATCAATATTGATTGATAATAACAAGCTCTCACCTTCATCAGCTGGTTGCCCAGCGGAATGTTTCGTTTCAGCCTTAAAGTAGCGTTTTTCCTCAGAAATTTGGGCGCTGGAGAGTCACGAATCACTCGCATTTCAATGCATTTAGTGATGGAAACGTCATCAGAGTGGGCGATCAATACTGCATACAATAGATCCTTATTGATCGGTAAAGGTTTGGAAAGGTACAGGGTGCCTATTGAGTTGATCGACAGCAAGTTCGAGTTCAGTTCCAGAGATGAAGGAGAGCTCTGCAAAAAAAATCGATGAGTCCTGGAAGTCATGATATCGAAGGGATCTACACTCATAGCTTTAAAGGGTTTCACAGGAGTGGACGCGTGCGGACGCGACGCGGCAGCATTTCAAGATTAAAATGTATCATCCCAAGTAAATTCACATTACCATCACTAGTCATTTCTAGACATTTCTAGACAAGTTGTTTCTAGACGAGGCAACATCATATTTGAAGGACTGACTCTTCATACCTATGACCTCTGTAAGACACCATTTAAGACCCCTTCTTGGAAACAGAGCAATTACCGTG